AAATCATTCGACATGGCATTTATTAAATTGTATCGATTTTCTTTACAAAAAAAGTCATGATAATTTATCTAAAAATAAATTATTTTAAAATGTTATTCTAGAATATATCGAGTATTCGTGGATAAGAAGAATAAAACCTCATTTAATCTTCAACTCTCTAGTTACATTTCTTTATTTGAATAGTTGGGCTGTCTGCCTGACTTAATTTATAACATGCAAAACTAGTTTATTTAACAATAAATTTGTCAAAGATAATTCTCGTGAGACTACATATCACTTTATGAGAGAGATTAAATTAAATATTTCGTACCAAACATCATTACTATATTTGATCTTTGTTATCATTTTTCTAGATAAGTATCTGAATTAATGATAAATATTATTTATAACTTGTTAAAGGAACCATTATTTTATTTATTATATTAGAATTTTTGGAAATTTAGTTTCTAATTGTTGAACAGAACAGAAAAAAGTTTTGTTTTTTTTAGTTATTTTTTTTTTCAATGTAGCACTTAATGCCGAAGTTTAAAGGGTTGCTTGTGATTTCGTCACAATCAACGTCTCAATTATCACTTAAAAGAGTTTAAGTTGAATCATATAGTTTAATCTCATTCTCCTTTTAGTATGTAAAGGGTCATTGTTAAACAAAGGAACAATGAGAGGTAGGAATATTTGAATGGGATCGACCTCGATTCGTGACTGAATTCAATAAGGAACATTGTTATGGTTAAATTAGAAAATTTTGAGATAATCTTCGTGAATATGACGTTACGCTGATGTAATATCCACGTGCTCACATTATACTAACTAATTTTTAATGAAGAGGAATGATAATTCTTATCCAGTCATGATCTTTTCAGATAATTTCTGAGTTTTACAATGAGCAAACCCAATAGAACACATAATAAACGACAAAAGATAAAGATTCTTTTGATACAGAATCACAATTAATAAAGAAGTAGTCATTTTATATGACGTCTCCCAATAATATCGATAGTTCTAAATTTATACATGATATTACATCAAGCTATTGTATTTATAAAATTGTCGTCATACATACAAAATTTTAAATCGTCTAAATGATACCTAATGTATCTTATACTAAAAGTGACAATTGAACAATTTTTATACTGTAATTGGATTTGCATTGTCTTAGCTATTATGGAAATGGTATTATTCCTTCTTTAAACGTATTATATTGAATACGAAGATAGTGTTTTTCTTCTCTAATAAATCTACCGCGATCTTATTTAAATTTTTCTAACGTATTTGAGTAAAGGAAAAGTTTCAGGAGAGATTTTGTAGCGAAATCTATATCTATCCACGTGACAGACTTACGATAATGCCACACGTCAGATAAATGTTTCATGTGTTTAGCTGACAAATTCAGGATTTGTTCCGGATCGGAAAATAAATTCTCCAACAAATTATTCGTTTAATCTCTACTAAAATTTTATTTCTTATTGGGAATCTTCTTTTATGTATATAATGCTAATTTATACAATTGTTTCCATGTTTAATTCTCGTTAATTGAGTCAATCTCTACTTCTTGACTGTTTATATTTAATTCGTTGAAAGAGGTTTAAATCATACGCAAGAGTAATTTGTTCAATTCTAACATTATAATGAAATTAGCATTATAGTAAGGGTATCGATTGAAAGAAGATTCGAGCGTGTGGAAATCGAACTTGGAATCTTTTGGTTTTATAGGAAGAACGAGGCCTTTCAGTTCCTAAATTAAATTCTTCATTGTGAATAGTGTGCAAGTTGGCATTCTTCTTTCAATCAATGCTCTTAACGTAGCTCTATCTCCTCAACCCGTGGGTAAGTAGACAGCATGTTAGTTTCCTAACATTTTCCTTTTCGTACCCAGCTTTTTGATCAATAAAAAGAGATATTTTCTTTGACAACATCCAAATATCAATCTAGGGAAAACTAGGAAGAATTAACATGGTTAACATTATTGTGACATAAAAAATACAGTCAACCCCCTATAACACTGTTGATAATTCCGTTTTATAAGAATTCCGTGTTGTACGAGTCACTTAGATTTTACAAATACGTGTGCCGGGCTGTGAACGGCTCACGTATTTGTAAAATCTAAGTGACTCGTACAACACGGAATTCTTATAAAACGGAATTATCAACAGTGTTATAGGGGGGTCGATTGTACATTTCTTTACATATTGATCAAAATGTCTAAAAAATTCAGAACAAAACTCTTCTGAAATTCTCGTATTTTCTATAATAAAAATTAAACTGATTGAATTTCTTTTGTTCGGTTGATAACGCAAAGTTAAACAATACTGGATTGTGTAGATATACAATTTTCTTTTATTGCAATGTATGAATAACTTTTAATGTACTTTTTTATGTTGTAATCAATGTTAGTTATTATATGATAAATATAACCTTTAATAACAGCTTAGAAGTTGTAAGTTCTACATAAAAATCTTTAGAATCTACTCCTTTTTTTACAATCTTCGCCACATTAATTTCAAGATAATTTTCAAAAATTTGCAAAGTATTTCAATCTTTTTTTTTCAAAAAAATTTTTTTAAAGGTAGAATTATCTGGTGTTTATTTTCCTGACAGCTTTAACGGTTTAATATATATTTTCCTTAATGATTAATTAGTCACTTCTATCGCGTCAAAAAATCGAAGCGTGTCGTATAGAGTAACTAATGATTTATGGGTATCGCCTGCAGTCTTTACATATATAACTTAGTCAAACAATGTTATTCAATTTTAGCATCAATCTGTCTATACTTTCATTAAAAAAAATAAACTTTTTAGCATCAAAATTTCACTTTTTATTCTTGATTTTACTTCTGAGATAATTGGGGCAAACCCCTATTATATTGGAGAATATGTTAAGAATGTATTAATAATAAAAAAATAGCATTGTATTGTCTTCGTCTCCATCTGTATTTGTCAGTTAATTTCTTTACTTTTTAAAAAAATCGTACCTAAGATAATGAAGTACAATAGATACTCGAAAACGACCCAACTAAGAGAAAGCAATGGAAGATTCAGCAACACCATTTTGTCGTAATTTTTAAAAAAACATTTTATTAATTTATTTGCTCTGGAGCTGTAAAAATTATATATAGTTTTCTTCTCCATTTTATAAATCAAAATTCTAAATAAAGAAAGATAACAGAACTGAAAAAAATATATCGAAAATCGTTTAGATTGTGAGTGATGATTTCTAATTTTGAACAGTATTGCTTCTTTGTTAATAAAGAAATTACCAAGTTGTAAATTATTACAGTAAAGTGTACAATGCATCAAAGACTTATTAAGATTGTAATAAAGGGCAGAAAAAGCTCAAAGGTGTCATTTAGAGGTTTAATTCTGCTAATGACTTTCGTATTTTCCAAATGCTGGACTTAACAATACGCTATTAAAAGAAGAGAAAGAAACCTGTTAAAGACAAAAGAAAAACAAAAAACAATTAGGTAATGTGGTAATTTACGATTTAATTGACGCTTTTGTCTTGGTAATTGCTTCTTTACGTTACGAGTGGATGCTTTTCTCCTTTGTCTTAAAGTACCACGTTTTCTTCAATCGAAATGAAAAAGTTTGTTTAAATTCGTTATAAAAACTTTCCAATTTTGTTAAGGGATTAATTTTTTTTTATCGAATTTTTCATCATTAATTTGTTCGAAAAGTTTAATGAACGTTGTGTGACAGACACGGGCCCTATACAATCTTAATGTTTAATCTTCCGTTACTCGTGTAACTGGAGTACCCTCTTGGTATTTGATAGATTAGATGATCAAATAATTTGACAAAAATCAAGCAAAATTAATTTTAAATAATACTTTTTCCTTCTTTCCTTCAAGATCGATTTATAAATTCTTTTTGGCATCGAATTGCCATGCAATTTGTATTACCATTCAGATGGAATTATCTTTTTCAGTTGTATTGCTTTCTATCTGCATATACATCTCTTGGAATGTTTATCAAAGATCTTCTATGAGATTTATATGGACTGCAATAATGCAAGGTGTCCAGACAATAATATAAATCAAAAGCACTTTCAAAATTTAAAATCATAAACTAGAAATCTTGGAATCGTAGTTTACAGAAGTGTTATTCTCTGTTCTTCGTAGGATACGAGAGTTACTTATAATTTCTCGTTTCGAAAGGAAGTTTAGATGTTTTATTTGTCTTTCGTGTTATTAAACTCTTAATGAATATCAAAGCGCATATTTAAAACTAACAAGATTTTCAATATAATGAAAATAAAACAATATTAAATAGGCAATAGGTAAAAAAAAACAGAATAGTCGTAATTCTGACTATTCTATTTTTCTTAATATATAAAGATTAGTATTTTTCTGGTATCAAGACATATAAACATTTATCGATTTAGATTCTCGGTCTGTGAAGAACACAATATATAAATCATTCCTATCTTGGTAGTAAATCGAAGTCCGCTTAGTTACTTTTGCCACCTCTTCCGAGCTTCTTTTATAAGGTTTTCCTTCTGTAAAGTATGCTTATTTCTAATCTGTTAATGTTCCTTACGTCTAATTGTTTATTTATGTTCTAATTATGCTTCTTTTACATCATTTTTCTTTCCTTGTCCGCGTGTTTCCACTCAGCTCTTCTACTCTTTCATCCTCATTTTTTCTATTAAATTTCATCATTTTCTGTTTCTCTTGGTTTTCCTTCTTCTTTTTATGTTAATTGCTCTTTATTGGATCTTTTAAAGGAGTTTACACGAATTACTTTCGTTTGTATATCAATTGAGTTTAATTAAAGTAAAAATCAGTTCGGTAATGTTTGAGACAACGGAATTGAAATGTTACAGACAATTAATTGCATAATTGTTTTAGACAGAAATTTATAAAGCCTATTTTAAAATATTTAAAAAATAATAATCGAATAAAATTCGGTATATAAATATTTATCGTGCTTTTAAATATAGAAATTTTTAAGATATTGATAATATAATTTTAATTATCTTTGTTTTTATAAATGCTTTTCAGGTGATCAAAATGGTTTGTGTAGTTCTAGCGGTGTTCGTTCTCTGTTGGATGCCTCTCCAAATCATTGTCCTCTACTCTCAATTTGGACATAAAGATGCTCCTGTAAGTTCCCCTTATTTCCTTTTAAATATATTATATCTGTTTACATGTAAATTAATGTTTAAAAAAATGTTTTGTTTTCTTATTTTTTTATGTTTATATAGATAAATTAGTAATTTTTAGTGTCTATTTTTTAATTTTACGTGTTTCCCAGAGAAGCAGAACTCGTTGACGAAGAAATGCATTTTCTTTATACAGTCTTACTTATTTATCTATCATATTTTTTTAATGTTTAACCTCAAAAAAATTATTCTATCTTCTCTTCTTCCAGAAATTTTCTTCTGGAAACTTTCTTGAATGAAATAAAAAAAAGTTATCTAGGAATTGCCACATAAGCGCATGATGTATAGTGTAGATGATGCATAGGACAACTTCGTGTTGGGATGTAATAAAGAAACGTCACAGGTCCGAAAAACAAAAACACGTTAGCTACCTTTTTTTTGTGTGTCTTCTCGCAATTGTAAGTTGTCAACGACGGTTGGAGAACGGAAGATACAGTATTTCTCTCGTGGGATGAACGGGAGACGACAGTAGCGTGACGTTTTCGTTTTTTTGTCAGATTGTGGCGAGTGGTCGGTTCGATAAGGAAACAAACCGGGATTTACTCGATCTTCTCCTCTTGTGATCGATGTCCCTCGTTGTCCTGTTGGCGAAGTTCGATCGATGAAACATTTTCTAATTATCCATTGCTCCTCTCCTCTTGAATGACGTTTTAAAATCTATTATTTTAACATTTTCTTGTCTTGCATTGCATAACATTATTGTTAAATGTTATACATTTTCAAAGAGGAATGTCGAAAACTTGATCGTAGATACTCACACATCCTTCAAATATCTTTAAAAACAATTTATAATTAACATAATATTTTAATGTACAATGTATAAAGAATAATTTAAGTAATATTATTCTTATTCCTACTTGCAATTATTTATCTTCTCCAATTATTTAATAAATCATCCATTGAAATACTTAATCTACGTCATATCATTTGTCTTCATAACGTTAAAAAGAGTCTTGACCTTGTTAAAAGGTCAATTTATTCGTTCTTAATTCGAACAATTTTTTGAATAAATAATAATACTTTTTCGTTTTTTAAATTTACTTTTAATTATTTTAATACTTACTTACAGCTCTTATAATAGGAAATAACAGTAACAATTTGTAAATTAACAAAATACTATTTATAATAATAAATTATGGAAGCGATATTAAAAATGTTTGCGTAAATTTCACATTTTTAATATTTAAGAATAATTTCTTCTCTCAAATTTGCATATTTTGGTATTATAGCTTTAAAAACCGTGTATAACGCGCAATTAGTTGACATTTTTATTTTTTTGGTACGTGGCGCCATCTGAATTCGAATATTGTAATTATTATCTCATAATCCCAAATTTTTATCACATGTTTTTTTTTCCATTTAAATTTAATAAAAATCATCTTAAAAAAAGAAACTTGTGCATAATTTTTAGGAATAAATTCTTTTGTTTTTCAGCTTCCGGAATGGTTTTTGAATTTCAATTATTTCGCTACTTTTGCGGCCTATTCCAATAGTGCACTCAATCCAATTATTTATGGTGGTTTCAACAATAACTTTCGACAAGCTTTCCTCAAATTATTAAAGTGTAGTTATAGGAGGAGAACCTTCGAGAGACCTCGTAAGTATCATATTAATTATGGCCCGTAAATTTCTTCTTCTTTCCCACATTTCACATCTCTTCTAAATTTTAGAAATTCTCTAAAATACCATCAACGAATACCGAAAAAAATACATACATATTTATTTATTTATTTATTGTTTATTTTAAAGTATTAGAAATAAATATATTGTTTTTTTTTTTTTAAGTCCTCGAAGTCCAAATTAGAATTATTTTGTTTACTAATAATTTGCATATTTTTCCGACAGGATCGGCCACTCAGAGATCTACAACTTCTTTATTATTCTGGAAATTCTCTAAAAATAAAACCGTCTCCACCTTTCGTTTATCGTCCTAGAGGACATCGATAGTAGGTTTTTTTTTTTTAATTTAATTTCTTTCTTTCTAATTTATTTTAATGTTTTTATGTTTTAGTTCCTAATTCGTCCACAAAAATTCTTAAATTTTTCTTTAATTTTTCTGTTGAGTGGGCAGAAATTTCAAACAAAATAGTTACCAATTTAAATAAAAAAAAAAGTATTATTTATTACTCTGCGGTTGCACCGTATACTCGATCGCCATCTTTGATACGATGCAGTATGGAGAGGCGGAACATTTTGTCGCAAAGTTATATGCTTATTATTTAATTCTATTGTTTGATTAATGGATTAACTTTTTTCGTGTGAGCTTTTATTTTTAATTATAGTTTACGGGAAGGGGTATAGTTTGTTTGGAGATAGATTTTACGTTGATGGTTGAGTCAGTAGCGTAATAAGAGAAAATGGTGTTGTAAGTTCACACGTTTCTTTTCCTCTAGAGGGTTCACGTATGACCTTCAGCACGGCCGTGACGTGGAGCTCTTCTCACGGAAGGAACAAGACGAACGACGGAGTCAAAGAAACAGAACTCAAGTCGCCCCTCAATGGAAACAAACTTCCGTTTTCACAAGTGAATGAGATCAAACTCTCGGCTATTTGACCTTGTGACCTTCTCTCTGCTCTCTCTTGTCCCCGCTCTTCATGAGGATTTCTTCTAAAAGTAATCCGACCATGCATTCTTGTTTCGAAGAAGGCGAATCTGTTTTTTGCATAGAGAAACGCCACAAACAGCCGTCGACATCGCGAAAAACTGATGTATATAATAAGCTGTGTTATATATTGTTATTGTAATACAGAATCTCGTTTGTTAAATAACAAACGAGATTCTGTATGTTCTAACTTGTTCCTTGAAACAGTTCGAGGTTCGACCGTTTTGACATCATCAAATATTGAATTCTACTAACCTACTAAGTTCTTCCTGAGTCCAAAGTATTTCTCATGTTGAAACATACTTTTTTCAAAAAATAACTTGTCTATTGGGTTACTATTTAATTGAAGACATTGTTAGATATAGGAAGTAATACGGAATTCCATACAAAGGCAGAATGAAGGACGACATTCTGTTCATTCAGTGACATCATCATCCTTCCTTTTAAGTGTGACGTTGCAGAAACGAAACAGGAAGTATATATCAATTCGTGGCTTTTTCGATACGAAATTTGGCTTTTTATATATTTTAAACTTCCTGTTTTTCAATCGAAAAATGTAATTTTTGTGAACAATTAAGGATGATGAGTAATTTTCATTATACAAGATTCTCCCACATAACGCATCATTACACACAGCACATATATAAACACAGTTATTCCATTATATTTGTTTCATTCCTGTGCCAATTCGTGCATGAACGTAGGAAACGCTTAGAAAGAATCATTTGAAATTCCAAAAATAGCAAAAATTCAAGCTGAAGAGAACTTTTTTAACGTTTCTGTAGCATCATCAAATATAGCGATTCTCTTCCTGACATCACAAAGGAATCAAAGACGAAACAACACAATCGTTTCCTTTGACATTTTTTTAAGACCAAAATTAATTTTTCATATTAAATATATCAGAATAAGTATAACCAGTTTGAAAGGTTATTCAGTAAACTGTATAAATGTTCTCACCCCCTTTCGAAGTGGGGCAGTTTAACGGGTTTTAATGTATCCTAAATCTACAAACTAGACTAAAACATTTGAACTTCGAACTCGTTCTCCTATCAGAAAGGTTAAAAGTTAGAACTGAAAGGTAGAAAAGGTGTACTTTTGAGCTTATCTGTCAACATCTCTTCTATCCTGGATCGATGTATATTCGAATATTTATGAATAAAAACTATATGTATATTATTTTAACCACGTATTCGATTATTTATTCTAAATTTTAAGCTGAATACGCTATATAATTTTTACTTTACTCCCTAATAATGAGATAATTCTTGTGAAAATAAGGTAATTATATATCTTTAATCAATTAAACATTACACGTTAATAAAAGCATACATTTAAATTATAATAAAAGGGAGGCAATAAAACACGCAAAATAAAAAAAAAGTAGGCGAAAAGAATTAGGTCTGTATGTTTCAAGGTTAAAGATCAAAGGTCAAATATAGATTAATTAACTTTACTTAGAAAAGTTGTATAAATATTAAATATTTAACATAATATCGTTACGTAAGAAAATTCACGGACTTATAATTATTTATTCATTATTATTTATGAAATATTTATCAATATATATTAATAAAAAATGAAGTAATGTTCATGACGATTTTAGAGACATAAGAAAACTAAAGATAAATATTTTCATATTAAAAATCAAACGAATAATATAATAAAATGTATATAGGAACCTACTTTATGATTGTTGTATTATTCGAACTGTACATCCGACCCAATTAAATATACACTATTTTTTGTCTAGTGTTGT